AGCCGTGCAGCCCAGGGACTTCACCGTGAAGGACATCGTCTACCTCCACCCTTCCAGTAAGCCACCTTTGCGCGGGCTGCAAAGCCACGGCCGGCCGCGGCACGGGGGTAAGGACGAGGGTGAACGTGTGTTAAGGCAGCAGAAACATCGGGGCTGGGCTGAGTGCTGAGCAAAGTTTAAATAAATATCCCCAGTACTCATAAAACTTGTTGATATAACTTCACCGTGAAGGACATCGTCTACCTCCACCCTTCCAGTAAGCCACCTTTGCGCGGGCTGCAAAGCCACGGCCGGCCGCGGCACGGGGGTAAGGACGAGGGTGAACGTGTGTTAAGGCAGCAGAAACATCGGGGCTGGGCTGAGTGCTGAGCAAAGTTTAAATAAATATCCCCAGTACTCATAAAACTTGTTGATATAAAACCAGACCGTTGCTTCCCAAAGGGATTAAAGGACAGATAGGGTTACAGGCAGTTGCTGAGCGTGTCAGGAGCTTTTTGTTCACTGTTTTCTGTTCCTCAATAATCTCTCTGGCCATAAGACCAAGCCCCACGGCCACGCGGTTTGCCCGAGCGCATCGATAGCTGTGAGCAAGGGCCGGACACAACCATTTGCAGCTGTGGCACCAGCTGCTCCTGGCTTTATTTCAGTAACTCCCTGACGCAATGCTATAGCAAATTTGTGCATCTTTACATCTTCCATGGATTTTCCTTTCACTAGTCTGTTTGCTTCATCAGGTACAAACTTATTTAATTCTAGAAGGAGAGAGTTGTACCTGCCATCTATTCCCAGAGAAAACTCACCGCCTTTCCGAATTTGGCTGAAAAATTTATATTTTGTACAAGCAAGATGAAACTCCTGTTTTATGCCATAACCACAACCTGCTAGCGGTCCAGGGTGAGAGGGGTGAATTTAATTAGTGCTGTTGTGTTGTCCCACCCCAGGCTGTTCCCTGACGGCAGCACCAGCCCCACCAGAGATGCTCCCAGGTGACTTACAGAATAGAATCATAGAATAGTGTGGGTTGGAAGGGACCTTTAAAGGCCATCTAGCCCAACCCCCCTGCTGTGGGCAGGGACATCTTCAACCAGACCAGGTTGCTCAGAGCCCCGTCCAACCTGACCTGGAATGTTCCCAGGGATGGGGCATCTACCACCTCCCTGGGCAACCTGTGCCAGGGTTTCACCACCCTCATTGTAAACAATTTCTTCCTTACATCTAGTCTAAGACTCGCTGGCCCTTACCCAAGCAGTAATGAAATAAGCAGTGAAAGCCTCTTGCTTCACCTCTCGAGCCCCAACGGGGTCTGGCCCAGAGCCAGTGGGAAGGGGAGGAGGTGAAGAGGCGGGAGAGGTGAGATGTGGCCTGCGGGGCTGCGGAGGTTCCGCTTACTTCACCCCGTGGAGTTAAATGTGACCCATTCACCATTTGGCTTCTGAGAAGGTGGCAGCATCTTGAAGATGTATTGAATGTGCTACAGAAGCTTTGCCAGGAGACCACTTAAGAAGTTACGCTCTTCGTTTGGTGAGATAAACTAGGACGGAGTCTGCTGTTAAAAACTGGAGGTTCAGCAAACTGATTTTTCTTTCCTTTGGGGACATCAGCCTGCCTTCAAAAGGGGTAGCTCGTTTCCTCGGTGGGAGAGTTTCCAGAAGTATTTTAATCCATCTGACATTTTGTTATCAGCACTGATAAAATAGCAGTATTGGATGTGAGCTCTGATACCAAGAGAATAAGTACTCCTTGCTCACATTAACTCCCTCTGAAGTCAGCAGCGGGCACTTTTGCTAGGTAAACAGGGTTGAACTGGGCCCTTATTGTATCTGTGCGTGCCTTTCCCGCATTGCTATTGGCGATAGGGTTTTTACAAATCAGGACCAACTTGAAGAAGTTGACGGGTATACTTGTAGAAAGATACGTCTAAAGAGAACAAATGCTGCTGTGTGCCTCTGAAAAGCGTAGTAGAACCAGATTATTTTAACTGAGTATTTTCTATTCCTTTCAGCCACACCGTATCCTCACGGATTTAAATGTTTCACCTGCGAAAAGGCAGCAGATAATTACGAATGCAACCGATGGGCTCCGGATGTCTATTGTCCAAGAGGTAACCAGCCGCACGCTAGCGTTTAATTTAAACCCACCTTACGACAACCGCTCGCTGTCCCCGCCGCAGGGACGGCACTGAGCCCCCGCTATTCCTTACGCGTACTGGGACGCTGGTGATTGCTGCTCCCGCTTGTAAGCCTCCTCAACAAGAAAGATGTATGTAAGCGATACGAATAATCCTTTAAGCTTTTCCGTCTCTTTGCCGTGGATGAAGTTTAGGACTTTCATCTGCTCCCCGTACTCCTCTGGCTCAGCTGGAAATTAAATCAGGCTGACGTTTATTTAAGGGTTGTATTTCTCTTACTGGTGAGTACGGGACAGGTTCTTGCTTTGTTCGCTTCCCTCCCCTGTGGCACAAGCCCACACTTCAGGGCAGCCAAGGCTGCCTCTTTTCAGCTGGCATCAAGATATTTTCAGTATTTTGGGCTCATAACTCCTGTCGGAGCCTGGAGTTGGGAACTGCTCAGAAAGGGCTTTGGGATACAGGCACCCAAATATCAGACCCAGGTATCTGTGAGCCCCTCAGATCTCCCCCTCCCTTACCGCTTCTCTTTTTGAGACCCTCACAAGCATTAAGATTGTCCACAGCCCCTGACGAAGCCCTGGGCACGGGTTGGACGTGGACTGTGTCCTCACCAGTGTGGGAACCACGTGTGGGCAGGAGGCAGGGATGCTGCTGGGGCCGCGCGGGCAGCGGGATGGTGCCGGGGCTGACCGCTCCCCGGGTGCTGTCTGTAGGCTCGGCAGCGCCGTTCAGCATCTATCTGGAATGTCTGTGGTCTGTTGTGGGACATTACAAATGCCCTCTGAAAATATTTAATTTGGAAAGAGAAAGACCACAACCTCCACTGCAGGGACGAACCAGCTGTGTTTGCAGCCTATGTCGGAGCACGTTATCTGTCCGAGAATTTATTTGCTTTGAGCTCAAATCAGCACAACATCAACAACGATAAAAGAGATCAGGCTGGCTGGCACCAGATGAGACCAATATTCACGGACGCTGCCTGCTTTGACAGGAGTAGGTGGTATTTAAATGCCTAAGGGCAGCGTTACCCGCAGATCGCTGTGCGAGGAGAGAGGCGCGACTCCGAGGTCTGCCTTTAGTAACAGCTAGCAGAAATGACTTGACTCCAAAAAAATGCTGATCTGGAGAGAGAAGTTCGTACTTAATGGCTGTTTAGGGGAGGGGAAACCCATGCTTTGGTGCATCTGTAACTCATCAGCTGTGTTCAACCAGACCGGAGCTGCTAGTTACGGTCACCAGCCCTGCTGGTACAAACACCCGCTGTTCGTGAAGGAAGGACGGGGTTTTAGCCCTGAGAAGGGGCTAGCTGGAAATCTGAGTCTATCTTTAATCTTTAGAACAGAGGACTTCTTATCTCCTTTAAATGGAGGGATTGCTTTGCTCCAGGCGGAGCGCGTTAGTGCCCAGACTGCCCCGACATGGCGTGCCTTGGGGCTGGAGCACGGCTCTGCCTGCGGCACGGACCCCCGGCCCCTCGCTGCCGGCGTTTGGGCGAGACCAGGGCCTCCACTGCTGAGTCAGCAGTCACTGTGCTTCAGATGATTGGGGAAAGGGCGTGGGCACTACGGCTTAAATGCTCTGTCCTTATTCTGCGCGGTGGAAGCAAAGCTGATAATGTCATTGCTCCCCACGCTGCAGAAATCAGCCGTTGCTTCGGGATGCCTCATCACCGACGGCTTTTGTCGGCATCTCTTAGCTTTACATCCAATACACTTCCACAGCAGAAAGCTTTTATGGAGCCAGCTTCTTTCTCGCTTGCTTGAATTTTCAAATGTGAATTTGAGTTCGTGTGCGGGAGCCGCAGAAATGCAACCTCGGGTTTGAGGCGTGACTCCAGGCGTGCTCTGGGGGCTGGGGTTATCATTACCTTACCTCTGGGAGTCAGAGGGGTGTGCTTATGGCCTTGCCTCCCTTGCTGCGGTGATCCGAACCCTTGTTGGTTTGCTTGGGTCAAGTGGTGGGAGAAAACAAGAAAACTCCATCCTGGTATTTGCTTTTTTTGGTTTGTTTTTTTTTTAAAGACAGAATGCTATTAAAACCAAGCAAACCAAAATACTTTAATTAACTATAATGTAGGACTTAAAGGGAACCACATTTTGTGTATAACAAAACTCATTATAATGGAGAGTAAACACATGAATCCCTGTATTGAACAGAGATTAGAAAAAGCATTTCCTAGAAGGCAGGCCTCCTGCTGTGCATTAGCCTTGTTTTCTGTTATTTATTAGCTTCAGCTCAAGCAGAAACTGTGTTAGTGATCTAATTTGTATGGAAATACCGCACTCAAAATACTCCCAATAGTCTATTTTTGGACAGTCTGTGGGCGGGCTGACATCTCGTTGATGGCCACCACCACCACGGTGATGTTCCAGCCGCTGCAGGTGGCACCCGAAAGCGCTGTTAGAGGCTGTGGTTGGGGAAACGAGCTCTCAAAAGTCAACGTGTGACTCGGGGCTCTTTGAAATACCAGATTCAGTGTTTCCCTACCTACTCCTGGCAGGTCAAGACGGGGGCTGGCTATTGTATATAAGTGTTCGGAGATAGCTCGTAGCTGAAGCACGTCATGCAGTCTTTGCAAGACAGTTCCACCAGAAGAAGGAAAAACGCAAAAGAAGAGGTGACGGTGTCACCTGTCATGCCGGGGGTCAGTGTAAATCGACAGCTCTGAAAATCCCCCAAATAATCACATAGAGCAACAATCTCATTTTCAAATGCTTTTGTAATGGAATGTGTTGCTGGGCAGCCTGAATATTGCACCACAATCAGCCTGGCTCTCAAGTGCCTTTAAAGACACTCTAGAACTGTAAAATTTAGGAAACATAAACCCATGCTTTTTTGGTACAATACCACCGAGACCCATCCTTACCCTGCGGCCGTCCTGCTGCCTGGCTTGGGCACCGCCGTACTTAGAAGCATCAACTTTCATGCCGCAATGTCTTATTTGAATCGCTCTAAATTTCTCTGATATTTTTGGTAAAATTTTTATAGCATTGGGCTGGTGTTCTTCACGGGCTCAGCCTGGAGTTCCTCCTCCCTCCCTCTGGCAGGCAGCTTCCCTCTCTGCAGAGCAATCCTTCCATAAGGATATTCCCCATCTCTGCTTTGCGCGGGGCTCTCCCAGCGCTCTCTGGCCCAATCCTTTTCATCGCGCCCGTCTTCATTACGCTCTCTGAGAAGAGAGGCAGACCAGAACGCAGTGCAAAAATTAATCTCAATTTGAGTGAGTGGATTTTGTTGCTTGTTGTGGACTTACTTGGTGGCTGCAGCCCTGCCTTGCAGGAGCTGATAGCCATCAGTGACAGCGGTGCGAGGAGAGCGTGCTTGGTCCCTCTGTGTCGGGGAAAATACATATCTCCAAGATGATTGCACAATGTTTTCTAAAAACACACTTGGAAGAAAGAACAAAACAGCCTTAGAAGAGTTATAGGGTGCTAGAAGCTTGATTTGTTCCATCTGGGACCTGTCAAGGGCAAGCTCCGCTACACAGACAGAGCCATTGCAGGAGAAATAAAGCTCCAGGATTTGCTGGGGAACGGCACTTCCAGGCGAGGTCCTTGGAGAAGCTCAAAGCCGTCGTGCGGAGAGTGCTCCCCTGGGGTAAAACTGTGAGCTTCACCCCTCGGGGCAGGAGAGCCTGGAAAGCGCGTTAAAAGCCGCGCGTTGCAGCCCTGGCCGGTTTGAAGGAAGACAGCACGCCGAGCATCTCCAGCCTCTGGTGATAAGTTAAGTCTGTTTGCTGTGGATATGGCGCTTGAGATAAGAGCAGGTCAAAGATACGACAGATTTCTGAGGGGCTTTATTGCCCCATGAATAACGCGTTCAGTCGGCAGTCTCGCTCGGCTGTTGCCGAATGCCTAAAACATGAGAAGTATGCAGGGCTTTGCCCGTCGGAGATGAGGGCTGAACAGGAATGTTCACTTTAAATTAATCACAGTCCATTTTTTCCCCCTGTGAAAGCAACAGTTTTATTAATAATAAGGTTGATTAATAAGAAGCAAGGTATAATTTAGAGAAGAAATACATAATGGCATGTTTCCTGTGTTGAGAATCCAGTGTTTTCATCTTGGAGTTCTAGGAAGGGGACCGGCACCTTCAACTTCCCTCTGACGACTAAAGCATGAAATAAACCCAAATTCCTTTACGCCTGAGGATAACCACAGCATTTGTCAGTCATCCTGCTTTGAATTTTCTGTGCGTTTTACAAGTGTCCCTAGAGAAGTAGCTGAAAAAAGGAGGAGGAGGAGGATGGTTTCCCTTGGGGACAAGGGAGCCCACAGGAGAAGCGATGGGAATACCAGGGACACAATCCATTTCATGGTGCCTTTTCCAAAGACTGGGAAACTGAGAAATACAGAAATCCTCCCAACTGTTCTGTTGGTCTTGTGGCATTATTTTATAGACGATAAGACTGAGGGGCAGAGAGGGTGAAGGATCTTCTCTAGGCTACGCAGGAGCTGTGGGAGACCCAGGATCAGAGCGTGAGTAGCGAGGACAGCTTGCACGAGCTGTTAGGATATAGGGAAAGGCGTCTCCAATGTGTAATGCTTTAGGCAGTTCTACAGAATTAATGGTTGTGCATGAAGCTGGGGAAAAATCAAACCTATACAAATGAAAGTTAGCTTCAGACTTAAACAGGTATTGTGAAGGTTTTCTTTTTTTAAAGACAATTCCTATAAAACTAACAGTGCCCAAAATTTGGGGTGTTTATCTGAATGTCCCTCTGTAACTTGATTATTCAATGTACGTTTCTTTATCTGTAACATATAGACCCACATTAACATTGGAAACAAATCTCTGTGTTCCAGAGACCTTTGAAACCTCAGGTTGCACTGGAAACAAATCTCCGTGTTCCAGAGACCTTTGAAACCTCAGGTTTGTGCCAGAGCTTGGGGGGTGGGGGGCTGTATTTAGTGACATTTATGTATTGCAATAAATACATCAAAATTCTCTTTTTTTTAAATCTCAAGGTTTGAAAAAAAAATCTAAGACTTCTTTCCTATTTCCTCCTATTTGTAGACTATCACAAACCTTGAATTTGACAGGTAAACACATTTTTCCATCTTTCTAGGTACAAGATACTGCTTTAGCCAACACATGATGAAAGTTACTGGAGAAAGCGTATCCGTCACCAAACGCTGTGTACCATTAGAGGACTGTCTGTCTACGGGATGCACCTACGTAAAGCATGAAGAATACAAGGTATGGGATCAAAGTTGCTTTTTTTCTTGGGTGAAAACTGGGCAGAATCCTTCTGGCCACCACCAGAAGTCTGACCGGTTCAGTGGCTAAATCAGCATCGTCAAAAATGAAATTTCTCTTCTTAATGAGCTCCAGCTCATTTCCATTTGTTACAGCAACAAAGGAATAACCTCTCCCAGAACAAAAGAACAATCTCTTTAAATAACTCTCCTGCCAGCAGCTCGGGGGAGCAAAGCAGCTCCCCTCTGGCCGAGGAGCGCTTTCCCTGCAGTGCTGCACGTGTTTGGTCCCCTCCGCTCTGCGACCGATGCTCGCCGACCATCTCTTGGTTTTCTTACTGAAACGGGTGGCAGAAAGCCCCGAAACCTTTGGAGCAGATGCTTTATATCTGAATCAAACAGTTATGTATTAAAGATTTTCCTGAAGGTCAAGAGTTGACCTTTTTGAACTTCCCCAACAGGTTAAAATAAAAGAGCTTTTGGAGCTGCCAGGCACACTGCAGCCCCATCGCTGTTTTGCACATAATTTTATGCTCTCTTGGCCTCGGGAGCATTAGTCTTGGTGCTCTAAATCTCTGTGCCCTGGCAGGGTGCTGTAACTGTCCTTCCGAGCCCTGGGAAGGCAGAGCTGCATGTCCTTATGGGCTGGCACAGGAATTGTCTATCACTCCAGTGCCTGCACCCGAGGTGATAGGCAACAAAAAAAACCCTGTATGAATAAATACTGATTTCTTTGAGTTCTGGCTTGTGAGCTTTACTTTGACCAAACAGCATTGGTTTTCATCAGTTTACTTTTTTGGGGTAGAAAAGAAAATAACCTCTTCAAAATGGGTGTCCCCTACTTGCACCAGCCAACGTACTGTTCCTGTACAGGTGAAATTGTTCTCCAAGTAGATAGATTTGAAAAAAAAAAGGGGGGGGGGGGGGGAGGGGGAGACAAGCTGAAAAGTAATTTGCAAATAACAGGGGGGAGAAAAAACCCCAGACTGGCCACTGTGCTCCTTTGCAAATGTCATATTATTTCCCCTACGTCTTTATTCAATGGCCGTGGTATTTTTCAAGTAACCGAGTTAACACCTGGTTTCTTTCAGATCTGCACCTCCTGCTGTGAAGGAAGCATCTGCAACTTGCCACTACCAAGGAACACAACAGACGCCGTATTTACAACCCTCTCCCCCCTCAACAAAACACAGAGACTTTCTCAGCCCGTCCTGCTGACAACGGCGTGTCTCTGGTTGGGGCTGATGTCACAGCACTGGGTCACGTTGCCACGCGTGGCGGGTCCGGGCAGCTGAGCCGGGTGAGAACATCCGCATGGACGTTCAACCTCTCCCGACGGAGCCTGCGCTTTGGAGTTGTCTTCGAAAGACTGATTTTCCTCCTCGTTTCTTGTTAATGATGAACTAGTGAGCCTGGAATGTGGACGCGTTTGAAGAGGGTAAAACCATCACAGGTTTTCTGAAGAAACTCGTGCAAAATGTTCCCAGAACCCGTGGCTGAGACCGATGCACGTGCTTTTCGTACTGTCTGTCTTTTCTCTATGAAGAAACATTATTTAAAACTACTCTATCACTGCCAGCTGCTAGCATCCTCACTTACGCCTTTGAAACTTTCTTGTTATAATTTGTCAGAGGACTAACTCCGGTGTCTCGTTAACCTGTTTCGAGAACGTACGGTAAATAATATATAGTCAGTATGTCTTTGCAGTCTCCCCACGTCTCCTGCTCCTCTCGGGGAGGGCAGGAGCGTGCAGCCCGGCAGCAGTAGCTGGAAGGGATGAGGTCGAGGGAGCAGCAGCAGCTTGGATCAGGCCAGCGTCGCGCACAGATGCTTCCTCCGAGGTTGTCCACAGCGGCATGAAGAGCCACTCCCGTAACAACACGCACCGGGATGGGCAGAAAACCACTTTGGTTTATAAACCGGACCAGAAAAACTCTAAAAACTCTGTTGTGGAAGCAAGCGGAGGTGGGTGTGTGGTCCTCGACCCTCTCTTGAGCGGAGGAAGGCGTATGGAGAGCTGGTGGGTATCCAGGTTGAGATGCTGGTCCCTGCCGAGCCAGATTTTGGGGCTTTATATGTTTTCGTATTTTGGCCCCCAATTCTACAGCGTGAGAGAGAGTTGATCCTGAATAGCTTCTGTTATTTTATTTAATGCACTCCCACTATGCAGTATGGACTATTGCTAGCTACAGCTGTATTTTGGTGACCTGTGTTGCTTGTTTTGCTCGGAAATCATGTATGCAATATTTATTTTTGTATGTCGAGTAGGATCTAAAGTGTTTAAATGATTCTTAATACTGATATTGCTAGGGAAATTGCCAGTGGGTAAGCCTCTAATATATAAATTATCATAAATATATATATAAAAAATGTTGTGCATCACTATTGAAAAAGAATCAGCTTTGTTTTGCAGGGGCAGTAATAAAAGCAGGGTGTCCATGGACTTGTTTTAAAGTTAAACCAAACTTTTTTATAATTAATTTTTTTTTGCTTTTAAAAAAAAAAAAACCCACTATAGTCATAAATTGTTCTTTTATGAGTTAATTTTTGGCTAATCGTGCTCCAAGGTTAACTTGCGCTTTATCAAGTGACAGTGTGCTTATGCTCTGAAGTGCTTTTTTTGGTGAGTTACACAGTGAAAGGCAGACGAAGGAAGCCAATGCTGGAATCCAAATGCTTTGTAAACACCTTCAGTGCTTTGAAAGGGCTCCTGGAGGGTACCAGCAAGCCCTCGTCTAGCAGCGTCCGTGCTGGATACCATCAGTAGCTGGAAAACTGCAGATCTGAGCACGCAAGGTGCCGTCGTGAGTTTTGTGGCCTTTGGCGTGAACTCTTCTTGCACTCCGGGGAGTTTTATTGGAGGCAAAGGAGGAGGAGAACCGAGAGCAGCGCTCCCAATTTAGTTTCAGGTGGTTTCTCGGGGGGAGAAAAGCACTCGGGAAACCTTGGTGTGTTTTGCCAAGTGATGTTTTTTCAAAATGTATATATGCTTTATTGTGAAAGCTGAACTTCGAACGCTGTTTCTTTCCTTTTTTTTTTCACTTTTTATATAAAGCTAACTTTTCTTAGGAAGCGCTAGCTGAGCTCACTCAGGCAACCCTTGCATTTTTATGTCCTTTCAGCTCCCCTGTGACTTGCTCACAGATGGCTAGTATTAAGAGGGTCGTTGCAATCTGCTATTTTATGCAAGTTAGATATATTTCTGGAGACCCTGAAAAAACCCACCCTGCAGGCTTTATAAAGCCTGTCCCCCTTCTCTGCAAGCTTTCTCCAGCAGAGGAAGCCCGGTGCCGACTCACAGGCACTTGCTCTGTAGGGTCGGGGGAGAATGAGGTGGAGGGTGTTAGGACTTCTCCGACAGCAATTTAAATATTTATTTATTATTATCCTGCAAAAAGGAAGAGTTTAAGTCTGGAAGGACCCCGCTCAGCGGTTGGGGTTAAACCTTGGCCGAGCGTTGTGTAGGAGACGGGCCGGATCCAGGAGACGCACTTTGAGAACGTGTTGGAAAGCCGGCATGATGTGGAAGCGTGGGAATCTGGGAATACTCGGGAACATCTTGCTTATCTGTTCATACCGAGGTGGGCTCGAGGCTCGGGCTGTATTGCATGTGGCCAGCAGTAGCACTCGTGGGGAGCTCCCTGCCCTCTCAGGGCTCACGCGCTGGTGGTGGCAGCTCAGCTGGACGCTTTAAGGATTTATATTTTTATTTTGAGTCTTGTTAAACACGTGCATTTAGGAGTCAGTCAATAAAGTACCTAACCAGCAGCAAGAAGCAGAAGTTACCTCCTGACCTGAGCTGCCTGCCTTGGTCAGTGCCTTACAGTCAGGTTTCTGCCTGTGTTTTCTGGCTTCTCGGTATGTCACCCCCTCTATTTTCCATATATTTTGCAGTTTCATTGTTATTTAACAGAACTCACTAAGCCTAACCTGCGGCACGCTAACTCTGAGCTAGATACGTATAACTGCGTGGGCTGAGCTGCAGGAATGGCCAAATCTTTTCATAAGATTTTGGACTTTCAGGACCACTACCACCACGTGAAAGGTGTGGTGCCTGCAGTGAGATGACACAGGCTCCGGTGCTAGCTGGCTCCTCGTATGCACTAACAGACAGGATCTTCATACCGTGTTTAGGTGGACCTCAGACAGACCAGAGACCTTTTTGGGTACCTGGTAGCACTCTCTATCCACAAAGACTGGGGTGCAACAGATCAAATTTAGTTATCGGCGTTGTAGAGGTATTAAGCCAAGCCAGTTCCTTCTACTCCCTTTGCAGTCAGTGGAGGAAAAAGTGGTATTTCAGGGGCTGATTCATTGTATGCTAAGGTGGATGTTAAATTGTCTCAGCTCAGGCACAGGATGGACGTGCCTAGGAGAAGTAGCTTAGATGGAAATACTACATCCCACCCAGGGTATCCAGCTGCCAGCCACACGGTTTTGCCAAGACCAGTGCTTGGCAATTCCCTGAGCAGGAGCCACTCCTCAGCACGCCACCGGCTTTGCTCCGACGCTGATGTTGCTGCAGCTGGAGAAAGTCCCGGTTCTTGTGCTGTGCGTCCCTCTCCCCCACCGGTGTGCCACAGTTGGGCTCTTCGAAAGGGACCCGAGCACCATCCAGCTGAGCTGCCACCTCCGGCTGTGGTACGAGGATTATGGACATTGAGCTTAAAAGAGCAAATTAAGGTGACTGAGACCAAGCAGGGAACCTGCACAGGATCCTCCCTGTACCGGCAAGTCCGCGTGCCCGGTCTGCCCACGGAGCTCTCGGGGGTTTTTTAAAGCACATAAATGCTGAGCTGCACCGTATTTATTTTTTAGGCTCTATATATGTGATGTGGCTTTTAAATGTCTCATTTTTTAACCCTTGTAAATGCTGTACATTTGTATAAATAAATGTTTTAAATATTCAGCTGATGTGTGAGGTGTCTGGTAACGACGTACAATTGCCATCACCAGCCCTGCTCTTCCCCCTGCGCTGGGACACTGCTCTCTGCTCCCCTGTCCCCTTTTCCTTTCTCTGATGTCCTAGTAGCAAAAAAACCAAAAGAGCTGAGCTGTATTTAGAGCATTTTGTTTTAACTCTCCCTGTAGCTAATGAATCTGCCCCATGGTTTCCTCCTATTGAGCTCCCATGGTTATTTATTTCTTACAAATTGTTTTATATTGGGCATTTAATAAAATAAGTCTGAGGAGGTTCCTGTTTAGTTTGTGACCCCTGGATCTTCCTTTCCCTCGCCTGCTCTGGGAAAGCTTTACGTGTTCCATAATTGTGCCATCACATTAATTTAGTCCCAGTGCGTTCTGGAGGTTTTCATGCAGTTATTTCTAATTTCCACTCCTGAAACCAACAATTACTTGGATGTAAACAACTTCATGTAGCTAATGAAAGGGTTTCGGACAAAGTTATTTGTGGATAACGTGAAACTTGGAGGCAGCCCACCGTGTTTCTGCACAGCCCCAATTCCCACATCTTTAAGTTGAAGAAATGCCATTTACAGTAGCACAGTTAACCACAGTACATCGACTTACTTACAGCTCCTGCACTTCCCCTTAGTCCTAAAAGAAGTTTCTCTCCGGCAGTTCGCCGTTTGGTGCACCTTTGGCTTACAAACACGCCTCGAGGGAAGAGACTTTATTATCCCATTTCAACAGGTACCTCTGGAAACATCAGTCCCTGCTCAGGGTGCGGAACGGGATAACCGCCAGGCTCGCAGCACTGCTTAGCTCATTGCTGAATTACTGATTTTTCTGCGTTACAGCGCAGTGAGCTGAAGGCAGGTGTTAGTTAACAAACGCTTTGCTTTAATTTCTGCAAAGCAGTCAAATTCATTGTCAGTAAAAACAAGTCATCTTGACTGCGTAGCTCTTCTCCTCCCCTTAAACACCACTAGACACAGCCTTCGCCTGCTTTCTTGGGCAAATCAGCCCAGCCCAGCTTTCAGCAACCCAGTTCATGCAAAACCACCAAGGCAGCCAGAGCGATGCTGAACCTCCTGATTGCAGTAGCTGTAATCCCTAATAATTTTATTTTTCTTGAGACCCGAGAACCTCTTCTCCCTTGCCAGCCAAAATCCAGCATAGTCCCACAAAAACCAGTTTGGACTGACTGGCTGGGCAAAGATTTTGAGAGTATTTTTATACCCCTTAAAGAGGCTCAAGCAACCAGCAAAAGTCATGGCCCAAGTGTCTGACTAACGCCTGGAGGTTCCCGTATATTCCCATTCAAGGCTGGGGAGAGGACTCCGCATCATGACTCGCTCTTTCCATCAAGAAACTGCCAACAAGTTGAACTCTG